CCCCAAAACCCCAAAACCCCAAAACCCCAAAACCCCAAAACCCCAAAACCCCAAAACCCCTTGTGAAGGCTACTTTGATAAATAATTAATCAAGCCAAATGAAATTTAGTAGCCAAGATGCCAACCAGTACGATCAAATTTACCTTTTCAGTGAGAAATAGAAGGTTTATGTGGCATTTTAGTAACTACTGCTTAATAATAGGACTGCTTGGTGGTTTAGGAAAGTTAGGAAGGTTATATTAATCATTTATAAAGTTAATATTCCTTCAACAAAGTTACCCAGTGAGAGAAGCTTCACTCTTCTGTTGCTTAATTTAATAATCACAAGAGCACATCTGTATACTCTCTGCATTTTCTCTGATCCCTCTTTAGCTTCTCAACCTCCTTTAAGATTATAACATAAGTTGGGAAATAAGTGAGTTAATAATAAATTTGGTGTACAAAATTTTAGACATAGCTGTTAGCACAGACTGATGCAAGCTTAACAGCATTAATGAAGATAAAGTATCTCACCCTATAGTTCTGACCAAGACTCTCTTATTTTTAGAATTATATATCATAATTATTCTACTATAAATATTGTTACTAATAATTTTAGAAATAATGGACAAAGTTGTTTCAAAGAATTCAGCCTCAATACAGGAACTAGGAGTAAAGTGCAAGCAAAGCGGAGTAACTTCAGAGCATATATCAAAAGATGTAAGTAGCTGCTTTTTCAAAGGGTACTTGGCTAAAACTAGTTACTAACATATACTAAAGCACTTCAAGGGAGTAAATCTAGAACTATTCCTCAAGAGAAGATTGTTAAGAAAGAGTCTATATTAGGCTCAACAACTTTACTAATCCCCAAGAGTCTTTTAAAGAAGGATTTTAAAGGATTCAAAAAGTTTAAGAGGATTTTAAAGTGTAAGAATCCTCATTTACTTGGAATTATAGTACCATTAAGATATAAAAAGAGTAAACCAAAATCAATTTTAAGCTTCTCACTGAGCAACGAGAGACCAGTGAAATTGATATCTAGACTTTCTTCTCTCAACAGATCAAAGAGAATAATAAAGAACCAGACTCCCCCATTATCATCTTCATCTGGGAAGGAAAGTTTATGAAATACGTTAACTAGATCTACATCGAAATCTATAAAAACCAGAGGAAAGTTTAGCAGCCTATCAGATTTCCATATCCAAAGGCCAAAGAAAAAGCTGCTTAATGGCTTAAGGTAGGCTCCAAAATCTATATCTTGACTTAATCAGGATCTGAAGTACTAAAACTTCATTTTCTACAATATCAGAACTGCTTCTATATAATATTTCTTAAAAACTCACTTATTTTCCCCTTGCTTAGTCCAATGTGAAAATTCAACTAGTCAATTGAGAAGAGGGATGTATCCTATTAACTTTCAAACTTTATACAATTTATAGCAACAAGGTGAGATCTCTGGCCGATGCAGATTACATTAAGAAATTGATGGTGAAACCTCCTATTTATCCAGTACAAAAGTAAATTATTTCTATTTTATTCTTTCAACAAATTTTGGGATAAGAGGGGTTTTGGGGTTTTGGGGTTTTGGGGTTTTGGGGTTTTGGGG